AAAAAAAAAAAAAAAAAAAAAAAAAAAAAAAATGATAGCCAAGTGACACCGAAAACCGTGCGCGCCGCGCGCGCACAGGGAGGACGTACAGTCGGAGGAGAAAAAGGAGAACGGAGAGGCAGGAAATTCGAAAACGAATTATAGCTATGGGCGTGGCGCGGGGAGAAAGAGAGACCACCCTCGCAGGTACGTTGAACGTGAAAAATAACCGGGTTTGATATTTCTTGAAAAATATCCGTTTTATTCGATCTCGTAGACATTTTTCCAGGTGTATATAAATATATAGATATATATTCCGCGTGCATCGTGTGCTTATATATATATATATATGTATATATCTATATATATAGATATCTATATATCTATACGGGGGGGGGAGACAAGTTCACGGGATATCGATAATATCTGTACAAAGTGGATAGCGTCGTGCGCAGTAGAAAAATACCGTTTCTCGCGCCGGCGAACCGATCGCGATCGAACGATCGTCGCGAATCGGGCACTGAAACGGAACAAGTGCAGACGCTTCTGGCGAAAATAGATCCGTGAACGAAAATCTCTAGATCGATCGCGACGAGTCACGGGCGATCGTGATCCGTCGGATCTGCGTAAACGTTATCTTTCTTCGGCCGACATAAGGGAACGCGTTACTGCGTTCGTCGGCGACGGTTCAACAGGGATATATTAACTGTTTTTCTTTCCTATTCTCTTTCTTCTTATAGCGAATAATTTCTCTCTAACAATCGCAAGGCGAAAAGGTACGTGTAGTAGGTACATACAATACGCATGAGTCTACGAGCGCTCGAGGCTCTGTCGGTTGTTTAACGAAAAAAAAAAAGAAAAAAAATACGTCGACTTCGAACAACAGTGGGACAATAATGTTCTGTTCTTCGTTCCAAAACAAAGTATAAAAATGATATACGTATACATAGATAACGCGGGCGGAAACAACGGTGCCGAATCGATCTTTCTAGGGCCGGGGACGGTTAAAGCTGGCGACGGGTGCCGTTCCGATCGGAACGACGAACCGAAATCATTTTTATTTTCGTTTCAGCCACCGTCGCGTCGGAGCTACGCGACGGTATTCGTACGACGATCGCAGCCGTGAAAGCGGCGTTCATAGATAACGCGGATGGAGACAACAATTTCGATAGGATTCGCGTGGATTAGAAGCACGGACGACGACGGAAGGTCCTAGCAACCGCGATTAGGCTGAAATCGTAGAAAGCATCGCTCCTCGTTTCGTCCGCGACCGCCGAAAATAAAATATAAAAGACGACGATTGTATAATAACGTCGATTGTATAATAACAAAGCCGAATCGATTTTTCTAAAAGACGAAACAAAAATTGGCGACCGGAGGCGCCAGCGACCGACGCGATAACATTTTCTTCGTTTTAATCCGGGTCCATCGAAAACGAACTATACAAACAATATTCATAGAAACACGCGAGCGAAGCAGCAATGCCGAATCAATTTTTTCCTAGCAACAGAGGGGAGAAGCGAAGGCGGCGACCGGAGGTGTCGCGAAACTGAGCTCGTCGAACGCCGGCAACCCTTCCTCTCCCTTCACCCGTCGAGAAGAATATAAGAAATGCTAACGCTCGAACACGAGCCCAGTGTCGAGTCGATTTCTCTCGGAAGATGGATAGAGCATCGAAGGACGGCGACCGTAGATGCTGCCATTCCGACGGAGTCGTCGAGCAACGGAACAATTTTGTCTCGTTTCTTGCTGCCGAAAGGACGCGCAAACGGGACCCGGACGAAGCGGGAAAAATTCGAACTCGAGGACTCGACGCGTTTACTTTGCCCCCTCGGTTCCGGCGAGGGCTACCTCGACGAGGTAGCCAGCAGCTCGCCAACGGAGCCAGGGATCGTTGCAGAAATAAAAATGGGACAACGGGGGGAGAGAAGGCGGGGCTCGACGTTCGTGACTCGTGTTTCTCTTCGGTTAGTTGACCATCTTCTCCCGCTTCAGGGAGCCGACCTCCTCCAGCATCGTCTGTAGCCCGTCGGGAACTCGTCCGGCGTCCAACTCCTGCCCCCACTGTCGATACTGAAAAGAAAATAACGGATGGCGGTTACACGAGTTCCGGGAGACACGCGAACGCGGTTGGCCGAGTCGTTTGTTATACCTATAGGGAGAAACAGGGACATGGTCTGGAACGGTGCTGGAGGTAGGCTGCGGGTCAAGGGATCCGTTCGGTCTTCCTCTTGCTCTGCGAGCGGAACGGGGGGCGGAATGATATCGTGGACGACAAACACGGACGAACGTTTCTCGATTATTCTGGAAAGCAGCGCCGGCACCGATAACGAGCTCGTCGGCCCGGTGTTTTTTGAAATTTTGTTCGTTAGCGAGCCATCGGGCCACCGATCCACGGCTGGAAAAAGTGTTTGCTCTTGATTTTTTCATCGCGGACGATCGACGGTAAACAAGAACCGTCCGCGCGAACTTCGTAGTCGCTGGTAGTTCGGCGGAATTTTTGTGGAAAAATAAACGGAATCGGAGACAGAGCTTTTCGAACGAACCGTTTTCGAGAACGTTTCGGTCTGTTGGAGGACCGGCTTGTGCCCGTAGCGATGTCCGCGGTGGTAGTCTTGTCCGATAACACGTCTTAACGAGATCGAATCGTGTCGCCGAGAGTCTTCTTCCTCATAGAGATATCGAGTCGACTGGCGAAGGATAAAATTGCGCCAGAATCAAAGGGACGAGAGAATATCAATGCATCGTTGAAGAAGATTAAAGAGTTATTGTAAAAAGGAAATTGTAAATCTTCCCTTTGCGCTTTCTATTTCGCGTAATTGAAGGGAACAATTTCTATCGCGACTTCGCTTGTCTTAAAACGCGAATTTCGGGCGAATCGATTGCAACCGGCGCGAACGCGGTAAGAACGCGGTGTCCAGTAAAATTTTAATCTTACGATTCACCATCGAGTATGATTTTTAGGGAGCGGCACAAAACGCGAGTCCGAATGGGAGCCCGTTACCCGGTTGCAAATATTCGCGGCGCTGCGGTAATATTTATTAAATAGAACGCACGCGGAGAGCGGCATATCGTGTAATATCGCGCCAGCGCTCGTATTTATCACAAGTAGAATAAGCGAGCCGTGATCAGACGCATTAACCGCATTTGGACCGCACGCGTGATCCACAAAGTTTCGAATTATATTTCGCCGAATATGAGAGAGGCCGCGCGCTCGAAAACATTTTACGCCGCGTTTCCGTTTCGTTTTCGGCTGTAAATTCGTACGAATTGCACGCTCCGCAAATCGAATCGACGTCCGAACGAAAATAAAAACAGGCAGTAACTAGCCCATGGAATCGGCCGGAAATTCGTGCTGAATAATAATCAAGGTGTTTGAATGCCGTTCAACGGAAACGAAAGTTACATGATTTTCCGCCGCGTTCGCGGCGGCGGCGGCGTCTTCCAGCACGTTGTAGGTGCCAGAACTAATTCCGGGCAAGTTCGAGCCGCGCGTTACTCCTTTGCAAAGAGACCAAGAAAAAAAGTAAAAAGACCGCTGGTTTACGATTCGCTGGGAAAAACTTCCCGTCGCCCGTTCGGTCTCCGAGAGTCCTCTCTCTCTCTCTCTCTCTCTCTCTCTCTCTCTCTCTCTCTCTCTCTCTCGCTCTCTCGGGTTGGCGTCCCGTTCGAAATTTACGATATTAACGCAGGGAAAATAGCAGACGGAACGCCACTATTCCGCAGGAACTGTAACTCTGACCCCCCGGCGCGGGAGGAAGACGGCGCGGTTATTTAATCCGGAACACGTACGACTTGAAAAACGTCTGGCCGTGAAAGAGGACCGAGTTATGGCTGAATAAATCATCCGCTTGAACTGTCCGGAAACGGGATTTCAGGATGACATGGTAATTAGACGCGCGGTGCACTCTGTTTGGCTCGTTTCTCGATGCAAATTACGATTTTTCGAGGAATTTCCCCTGCCATTCGCTACGAATGGCCGCGCGATTGCTAGCAAGGAACGAGTTGGATAAATTTCCTTTCTGTTACACGGTGGTCGTTCGCGGCGTTATAACAGACGCAAACAGGAAGAATTGCATCTATTGGTACATTTTTAACCAGAATGGATCTCTTTCTGGAGGACGCGTCCTCCTTTTTTCAATACGTCCCTCCCGTCATTTTAGAAAATGATCGAGCGATTAAAATTTTCGCGATTTTCTCAAACGATCTTCAATTTCAAATACAGTTAATTCGGGGAACCGCTGAACCCGATTATCCGCGAAAGGGTTTGCAGGGACGAAGCGGCGTGGGATTCGAAGGCGAGGTATATATCCCAGGACGTTTATTATGATCTATGCGGAGGCTGTGACGGGGGGAATAGACAGGATCGAGGGAACAATGAAGAAGAGGACAGGTCGGGGAGAAAGAGACGAGATAAGACGAATGGGAATTTTAAAAGGGGTCTCACCGTCTCCAGCTCCTTCCGAAGTGCGAGCACAGCCTTCTCGCGGTCGGCCACCAGCTCTTCCAGGTATTGATACCTCAGCTTCTTTCGAGCACGACACTCCCTCGCACTCTGCCGACTTCGCTCTGCAAAAATAAACGAGGAGACGCCGGTGAGCGGAAGAAAGAGAAAGAAAGAAAGAGAGAGAGAGAGAGAGAGAGAGACAGGGAGAGAGCGAGAAATGGAGCGGGAAGCCGCTCTCCAACTTCCATTAAGACCGTCGCACGGTTGATCGTGTGTATAGTAGCCAGGCCGCGGCCGCGGCCGCGACGCACCGTTCTAATTTCGTGCTTCTGATGCTACGTACACGAAGATGTACGAGCATTTGAATTTTAAATTTCTTGCGCTCTCGTTACGCCCGGTACACGCTCGAGAGTCCACGTGCTACTTCTCCGGTCTTGTAACGCTTAATTGCGTGTAAGACTCGCGCGGATTTTTATCGAGTCCCGCGCGCACGCTCGAAACCGCGTGCCGATTATCCGTCGAATTTCTTGGTATTTTCGAGCGTGAACGGGTTACTTAAAAATAACAAAAAGAAAAAGCAAGACATACAAATTACTTCTTATTCTAGTTTTATTCTATCACAGTTCGGTAAAACTTAATGAGACGCGCGGAAGAATAATTTTTCCGTCATGGTTTCGGTAATCTCCGTTTACTCTTCGTTTCAATGTTACACTCGTCGAGACGCGAGCATGCTGGAGAACATAAACCCGATCGGTTGCTTCGACAACGAAATCTTCCGATCGTCGTATACGCGCGAAGTTTTGGAACAGTTCGTTCGTCGGATTCGAGCAAATAGGCGTAGAAAAATAATTCGATGAAAAATTCGTTGGATCGTCTGCTCTGAAATGCAATTTACACCGCTGAACCGTGCTTTATGCGCGAATCAACGTTTATACGAATTTTATGAACTCTCGTACACATTTTATGTAGGGCATAAAACGCGCGCATTCGAAAGCCGTCGGAAAGCGACATTGCCCCCGCAATTGCTGCCGAGTGCGGAACGGGCTTAAGGAGAGAGGATCGCGAAGACTGCGACGAAGAGGTGTAAGCGGAAACCAAACAAGAGAGCACACGCGCCGCGGATACCTCCGGTGAATTTTTCACGAGGAATCGAATCGCCCCGTTCGGGAGGCGATCGCGTTGCCTCGATAATTCGAAACGGATCTCGAGGGCGCGGAGCCTGCCGCCCCCGCGATAAGCAGACCGGCGATTCTAATAGAACTCGAAGGTATTTTTTCAAGCGACGTTTTCATCCGCGATCGCGCGCGATCGACGCTTCCCGAGACGACCGTCGCGTCGCGAGAAAGACGACGAACGGAACCGGTGGCTGCAAAAATTCGCGCGTCGACGACACCCGAAAAAAGAAAAGCGTTCGAGCCACCCACTCGCGCTCTCGGCTCCGAGAGAGCCGAACATCCGACGGCGCGGCGAGCTATTTTTCTTTCCGGATAAATTCGCGAACGCGTCGCGCCGGCGTGTACGATAACTCGTGGGAATTCCAACTGCGAGAGACCCGGCTCGAGGAAGACGTATAAACTCTTGCTCAAAGTGCAGGACAAACGAGCGTGACGATGCTGCGACGCGTATTTGCGTGACGGAGTGTTTAAACTTCGGCCGCCGTTCGAGCGCCCATCGCGAACGACTTCGCCGGGGAAAATTATTGTTACGCTTTTTACCGTGCCGGATAAATTGACGCGGCTCGCGTAGAGCTAATACGAGAACTCGGAGGAAGAACGGAAGCGCGGAGCAGCGGTCCCGGCCGCCGAAAAAAGAATGAAAAATTCAGAGGGAAATGTACTCGTGGAAATTCGTAGATCGCGAGAGCCGTTGAACATCGTAGCCGGCGTGTACGGAAAAACATTTTTCGGAGACGATCGAGACAAGCGATCCCACTCGCGGGAACTTCGGAAGACGAGAATCGAAGCGAAGTTCTCCGTTCTCGAACTCCTTCCTCGAGTCTTCGTAAGTAGAAATAGCCGTGGCTGACCGGACACACCCCTCGATCGAACACGACTCTCGAAGTTCGACGTTTCCGAAAGCAAAGCTCGTAACCAAGTTGCGCATCCAACTATCGACGATAATTCTTTCCTCGACAAAAAAAAACGCCACGGCGCTACGATCGATCGCTACGACGAACCTCTCGCGATTAAACGAGCCGTTCATTAACCGCGGCGAATTACGCGCGATCCTGCGCGTCCGTGCGCCATCGGGCACCGTTCGACGCCGGATAAACGGAAAAACGGGGCACGGCAAACATTCCCGGCCCGACGGAGTCGCCGTAAATTCCGGCACAAAAATTACAAGCGAAAGCGAAGGACGCGCGCGGCGACCGCATTCGATGCAACCGTCGGCGCGATAAATTCGCGCGGCTCGAAATGTGACGCGCGATTTTTCACCGGCGCGACCGGCCACGGCCACCGTTTCTGACGAATGGCGGCGATGTCGTTGGCTCGCGCGGCTTTTCGGCGCGAAAGAAGGTGTCCGCATCGATAAAAATGCTCGATATCACGGCGTATCGCGAGTCGCCTCGCCGCACCGCGCCGCGATAAAGACTTTTACGATCGGCCGTCGCGGTTATTATCGCGTCTACGGCTCGCTAAGCCAGCCCTTTACGCGCCGGTAAACGTCCTGCCTCGTCCCAGACCCGCTTCCCTCGAATATAACCTGGAAGAGGGATTCCCTTGATTCTCCGAGCGGATTCGACGCGGGTAATCGTCTGCGGCGTCGAGTGAAAACGAAATCGCTGTTTATACTTTCGTCGAAGCACTTGGATTTATTCGTGGAAATTGTAGAAACGTTTTTTTAAAAAATATCCTTCGAGTTCGAGTAAATCGAATATTGTCACTGTTATAAAACGATATACGTTAGCCGCGATTAGAGCTCGACGGTTCAAGCGTTCAACGTTCGATCGAGTGCGGACAGAGAATGAATGAAAGGAGTTCATTTACGCATTCGAGAACATTTCCAAATAGTTAGCAACACCGGAGACTGTTTTCCAAGAACCGCCTACCGGCTATCCAAACAGAAAATCGGCATTAGACAGGGTAATTAGAGAAGAATCGCGCGCGACAGGTTGAAAATAGCCCGACGAACTGACACAGCCGCGTGGCCGGCACCGCGCGGCGGTTAATGCGTCCACGTTGAAAGCCCCGAGCAGCAAATTTGCGACTCCATTTAGAGCTAATCCCCGTCGAGAAATTGCACGGCGCTTGAACAAAGTCTGTCCGTCGACGTCGTCGTCGTCGAAAAACGGAACCGCGCGGCCCGGCCGCGGCCGTCCCGACGGGATTCCGTCCGTGCGAATGAAATTACGGGAAATTGGATTTACGACTCTTACACGCCGTGTGGGAAACAGATCGATCGGCGCGAACGGCAGGAATTGCGACCGACAAGATACAAGGGAGAGAAGTTGGAGCGTGGGTGGCAGTGGCCAACGCCGCTGCCGCGCCGGTTCTGCACCCATGGGTGGGACGCGACGCGACGCGGCGGCGAGTCGACCGCGGGAAAACCGTGGAAAGCTCGCCGGATTTGGAATTACGGAATCGCGTACAACAAGAATATAAGAGGAATCGCGCGGTTCGGCCGCAGAGCCGGGAATAGCGCGGGATTGCGGACGCGAAAGTTCGTTGCTCGTAAAACGAGCTTAGAGCCCGGCACCCATCCACGGAGCTTTCTCTACCGACGTTAGAAACCAGTTCGAATGTGCCGAGGGTGAAACTGCGAGATCTACGGCGCGGCTGCAACGTCGAATCGGCTCGACGGTTTCGGTCCACGCGATTCTCTTACGTGCACGAGGCAGTTAGGTGCAATCTCGTACAACGTTTCTCAATCCCCGAGACGCGTTCGATTTCCAATGGTCCGTGAAACGGTACCCGATAATTCGCGACGACGGTCCCTGGAAAAACTCGTCGTAAGTAATAATATACTTTTGCGAGTGAAGAGGGTAGAACGAAGAATTGGGCGATCGAAAATAAAATGCTAATTTCGTGTCGTCCAGTAGCGTACATTGTAACATATTTTTGGAACAATTTAATATTGCTATGTATTTATTTAATTTTAATTATATAAACGGTCTCTCTTACTTGTTCTCTCCTATAGAAATTTTACATAAATTCGTTCGAATCTAATCGGAGATCCTGCGATCGAAGAAGCACAAGCTGTTGCTCGCTCGCGGATGGTCTATTTCGGTGTCTGACTAATGCACCGATTCTACTTAAGGCAGCTAGTTTTATGGTACGCGCTCGAGGTGAAGCAAAACAAGGGACCGAGCATTTCTAGGAAACTCCGTGACCCGTGCACGATACCGCGGATGAATCTAGAAAGCCGCGCGATCTTAAATTTTGCCAGGTATCTGGGTTCCTGTGACTCCCAACTTTTCTGGATATCTTAATCGAAATCAAAAAATCCTGGTCGAAACGCGATGCGCTCGATACAGAAATTCTTCAAATCATACACCTCGGAGGGTGATTCGCCATTTTTGCTCTTCTCCTAGCTAATTGGAAGATGGTCTTTCGAAAAGTATGCCAATCGGGAAACTGTCAAAGAAACTGCAAAAGTCCGAGTGGCGAAGCCCTAAAAGCCTGATTCCGCGAGCAAGTTCGAGTCGTAACGACTATCTCGAGCAGTCGGACGCCCGTATAACAGGATTCCGGGACAACTTCGGCCGACCGAAGCAGCTGCGAGATTCGCGAACAGTCTCAGGGCGATTTACCAGCCGACTATGCTGCTCGCCGGCGCGGTGCGGCGCGGTGCGGCGCGACGCGGCGAGGAATTGCGAAACACAGGGAATATTCTATGCCCTGGGAACCTTGAAGCACCGGGATCGGGAACATCGGTTCCCTGCGCCAGGTTGACCCAGCATAAATATTCATTTCGCGGCGGAGATAAATATTCCCGGGGTGTCGCGAGTGTCTGGCCCTGCCGCGCAATCAACGGACCTGTATTTCTCACGTGGCCCGTGTAACTCGGCCGGTTACATCCTGTTTCCGCGCGAAACGCGCTCGCCCGGTTGCTTGGCCGAACGTTTCCGCGGGTTTCTGGGGAAACGAGACCGGGAACGGCCCCCCTGCACCCCGTTTCGAGCGGTTAACCGAGCCGCGTCGACGCGGCACCCTAATCGGCTGGAGCACGGACCCCGGAAATGCTTTTCTTCCGAGCGGCGGTTCTCCAAGGCGCCGCTCCGCGCCGCGCCGGAACGACCGCGACCATCCCCGGCCGTTGTCGTTCCGCCGGATAATGGGAAAGTTTGGCCAAACACTTTGGAAATCCCCTGTTTATGCGGGATCAGGCGCTCGAAATTGCAACCCTGATTTACGTCGATATCGCGCCATCGCCGGCCGGGCTCTACCCGCCGCGATAATTTTGAATTATTCCGATGCCATTACGGCGCCCGTAGGCTCGTCCTACTTGCTCGCTTCGACAATCGGTCGCGGCCGTATCCCCGACCTTCCTTTTGCAATTCCATCGTTCGCGCGCGAAGCGGTTTTCGATCCGCTGTTCCGAATTGCGGCGCGACAATTTTCAGCGGTGCCGTTCGAGCGCAAAAGATAAGCCCCGGGTTACTGTTCCAAGATTGCGACGGTTCGCTGCGAAATTGTAAATGTTCGGAAGACGTTGCCCGTCGTCGACCGGCAACCTCGGGTTTAAACCGCGATGTTAATCAAAATGGTAATTCCGGGCGTCTCATCTCGGTTACCGAACTGTCCTTTACGGATTAACAGAGTTAAGTTGGATTTACCAGAATGCGTTACCTAGGATCTTACCAAGCTTGGCTTTCATATCCGACTTATCGGACGCCTTCCTTCCAGGCTTGCGTCCCCTCTTACCCCCCTCTTTCCGATCACCGCGAGATCCCTCCTGTAGACAGAAAATCATTGCGAATTAATCTTAAACTTAACGACGATCTTAACGTCTCAATGTCTCCTGCGAATTTCATATCGACGCGGGTCATTTCCTCGGGTCGCAAAGAGAAAGACTACGGTAAATTCTCCCTAATCGACAAAAATATACGATTATTCGCATATAGCCTTGCAGCTCCGTTTTATAATTGCTGCCAATCGGAAGCGTCAGCTATCTCCTCGACGAATAGAGAACGCGCTGTTAAAAATTTCGACGCGTGCAATCGGATCGACGATTTACCTTCACCTCGTGCCAATCGTTATTTCGATGTTCAAATATCGACGATAGAAGGGTAGAATTTAATTTCGACTCGAGAGACGAGAATAATAATACGTGTTCGATAGATCGTGTCCGACACGTTATTACAGGGTTAACGACAGCGGCTTTAAAGTCTGCGACTTTCTCTGCCGATTGGCCCGTATGGAGCCCGCAACCATCGCGGGTAATCAACGCCGTAAACACAACACCCTTCATTGAATAGACGCGAAACCTGTTATCTTACATCATACTTCCATTATCGTGGTCTGAAATTATTGAGCGCCGAAGGCTGCGAGTCTGCCACCCTGTCGTCCAGGCTCCACCCTCCGTGGACAGCCGAGCCGAGACGAGTATCGACGTCCGAGTAATCGAGAATGCGACGCGAAGGCGAAACGATGTCAAGGAACTCCGGATCGCCTAGCCGGGGCATCGAGCATCGAAAATTCTGATCTCGGTTTCGGAGCTACCGAGCTACCGAAAAATGGACGGATCCTCGCGGCTGTTCGCGCGACGCCGTCTCGATCCGTCGGCGGTTCCTTCCGGCGCGTCGATTAATATCTCGAACGAGTTCGAGCTCGTGGGAAACAACAGCCTCGACGTTTTCAATGGAAACAAAAGCTTATCGAGTCACGAGGAACGGCTCGTCGTCCGGGATCCGCTAAAAGCTCCGCGCGGAACCTCTATCCGGGGCCGCCTAAGCGTTCGCAGCCACCGACGTCGACAAATATCCACCGACGGATAACCGTGCGTCGAACAACATTCCCGGAAGTCGCGTCTCGACTCGCGATCCTGGCTTACCCGACTTTGCGCCGCCCGTGTCTGCGCTCAGCCTAACGATTCGTCGCCCGCGCACGGCCCGAGTGCCGACCAAAGAGCCGGCTTTTAGAGCTCCAGGCAAGCCTAGGTTCGGCTAATCAGCGACTGCCGATAAAGTGTCCAACGGGAGAGACGAGGCTTCGAGGAAGCTTCGCCTTTGGCTGCAACACGTTGGTCCGAGCGTCGTTTTTGTGGCCGCCGTTGACTCGCGCTCCGCCGCGGCACGGTATTATCCGCTCGTTTAGTTCGGCGACCGGACCGTTATTATCTCCGTCGAGCAACGGTTATCGAGCCGCGCTTCCTCGCACCTCGTCGTTCCACGAGCGAAATCGCCGCGGCCGTGAAACAATTTCTTCCCGATGGCCGAAGCGCCGGTCGAAGCCTTTGCTACCGTTTTCGCGAACACAGGGGACCGGCAGCTGCGTCGCGTTATCCATAACGGATGACAAACCAGTCGCATCAGCCGGTACACGGTTCGCAACGACCCATGGACGGCTGCCGGTAACGAGCGCTATCGCCACTCGAGGTCGAGTTAGCACCCCGACATGGAATCGCCGGACCGTCGTAACGCGACGTTACAAGTGCGAGTGCGGCGGACACGGGGCGCGCGTTACGTTACGTCGAGTTTAACGCGAGCACTCGGACCGATCGGTCGGAAGAGCAAATAAAGGAACTGCGGGGTCTATCGGGGATGATTGGAAGACCGAGCCAACGGTCCCGGGGGCGGAGAAAGAAAACGGTGGACGGCGCGGAGCGTGGGCGTGTCCGGGCCGGGCTCGCACGACCCGTTAAAATTTACACGTCCCTGGGGCACGGTTGTTACGACTTACGAGCAGCGGAGGCAAAGGCAGTGCCGGAGGCAGAGGCAGAGACTGCGACCGCGGCCGGGGGCTTAGCTATGCATGCGCTCGCGGGTGACAAAATACAAATTCAGCCCCCTTTTAGGGCAGCTGTTTACCTTCGGCCCTATCCTTTCCTCTCAATCCTATCTGGTATTAAATCTCCTCGAATCCTCTTTCTTTCCCTCGACCGCTTCCGACTTCTTTGCCCACCCCGCGCGCTCCTCCCTCCTCCTCCTATCTATCCGCGCCTCGCTCTCTCCACCTTCTCCACCCTCCTGCTTCCTCCCAGTCCGCCCCTTGCTTTTCCACCTTCCGTTTCCTCGTTCCATCCCCTGCTCTACCGCCGTCTCTCGCGAAGCCTCGCCCTCTCTAATTTTTCCTAATTATCTCGTTCCCTCCAGCCTCTTCCGCGTCTACCTACTTCTCGACGAATGTACCTAATAACAGCGGCCGCGACACGTACGCTCGCATCGTTCGTGTGCGATTCCACGGCTGCCGATCCCACGAACACCCGACGAATGTACACAGGGTGTCCCAAAAATGTCTCTCAATCCGGAAATGGCGGGTTCCTCGGATCGATCGAAGCAGCTTCTTCCTTTACAAAAATTTTCTCCGAGGCACCCTTAACGAATTATCAACGAAAAACAGTGACCAATAAGAATCGAGTACGGCTGACGCGAGGCCAGTTCCGCTCATTCGCTCGGTCGCCTCGCGCCAGCCGAGCTCGCCTCTCATTGGTCTCTGTTTTTCGTTGATAACTCGTCAATGGTGCCTCGAAGAAAATTTTTGTAAGGGAAAAAGTTGCTTCGAATGGCCCGAGGAACCCGCCACTTTCGGATTGCGAGACATTTTTGGGACATCCTGTATATTTCCATTACTCCCTCCTACCCTCCGTCTCGCGCTCCCTACGCGTCCCTTCTATACCCTTCGTCCCTTTTCATCTTCGACCGCGTCTCGCGCCTCCATCTTCGGCTCCGACAGCGTCCTGGCTCGCCCTATCCCTCGCCCCGTTCCCTCGGTCCAGGCCGCCGCGGCGGCTCTTTGTGGCCNCCTCGGATCGATCGAAGCAGCTTCTTCCTTTACAAAAATTTTCTCCGAGGCACCCTTAACGAATTATCAACGAAAAACAGTGACCAATAAGAATCGAGTACGGCTGACGCGAGGCCAGTTCCGCTCATTCGCTCGGTCGCCTCGCGCCAGCCGAGCTCGCCTCTCATTGGTCTCTGTTTTTCGTTGATAACTCGTCAATGGTGCCTCGAAGAAAATTTTTGTAAGGGAAAAAGTTGCTTCGAATGGCCCGAGGAACCCGCCACTTTCGGATTGCGAGACATTTTTGGGACATCCTGTATATTTCCATTACTCCCTCCTACCCTCCGTCTCGCGCTCCCTACGCGTCCCTTCTATACCCTTCGTCCCTTTTCATCTTCGACCGCGTCTCGCGCCTCCATCTTCGGCTCCGACAGCGTCCTGGCTCGCCCTATCCCTCGCCCCGTTCCCTCGGTCCAGGCCGCCGCGGCGGCTCTTTGTGGCCAGAAAATGGAATCGATGTCCCGCGATCGAGAGATACAGGAACGAACGGAGGAAGAGCGAATTAGAGCGGCGGGGAGCGGCAAGGGGTGCGATAGCGTAAGGATTCCGCGCGCGTAGAGGCCGGCTATTACGACGCTGCCGGCCCCGTCTTAAAGCCAAGAATATAATTAACTCGCGGCAGGTGATGTCGGTGAACGAACAACGTGGCGCGTCGGCTAGGTGGTTAAACGGAAGAATCGGATTAAGCCGGTTCGTACCACTTCCGCGTGCGCGATCTGGGCCATGGAACACTTCCCCGTCCGTTGTCCCGGAAGCCGGGGAACCGCGTCGATCGACCACTGACGCTGACACTTCCGTCGATTCTCTGGCCCGACACACATCGCGACCGACGATACGCGATCCCTCCTGTGCCTGACAATTTTCATCGACCAAGAATTTTGACGACTCGCCGCGTCGGCCCCGCTGTCGACCCGCTTCGCGTCGAGGGACAGCGAGAATTCCGCGGAAATTCCGAACCAGATCCTTCGAGAACGCCTCGAAGCTCCGGGAAGGCTCCAAGAAGCCTCGCCATTTATTATTCGATACGGCATCGCCGTGTGGCACGGCAACGTATTCGATACGGGTAGCCGCGTCGTTACTTGCGACGTCGCGGAAACGAAACGCAAGATGCGGCAGAGGCTATATTTTTCTACGAGCTTCGAGGACACCTTTCGCTCAACGATTTGCCCGTTCGATCGCGGATCTCTCGTCGTCCGTCCACGCGTGAAAATATTAGAACCGACGCTGGTCGACGTTGATCCGGTCTTGCCACGGCATTATTACGGTTGTCTAGGCAGGAAACGGAACTCCTGTTCGAGAGACAATAGACTCCTCGCAAGGACTGAGACCCGGTGTCGTCGTTAAACTGCGGATGTTTATGCAAATCTTCGAGTTCGCGTTTCGAGCATCGGGAAACGGAGGTACGCGAGGTGAAATCTTATTTTCCGCGTTTCTGTCCTGGGAACACGGAGTCTCGAGATTAAGCTGCTCGACCTACGTAATCGCTGTTTCCCTTTGCTTCGTCCGAGCATTCGGCGAAGTCAGTCCCAACTCTTGAATAACAGTCGTCGCGACTTTCTGGGTCAACAATAAGAGACCCGAATCGAAGATTCGAGACCAATAGCGTCTAGAGCGGAGTCTCCGGAGCTAATAAATACGAGCCGCTCGACTCCATCTTGCTTCCTGCAGTTTTCGGCCGCTGGATGCGTCGAACGGAAGATCCAGAGGTCGTCGAGCAACGAAGAAGATCCATCGAAATGATCGCGTAACGGCAAAAACGTGTAATCGTAATCACTCTCGACGTCGCGAGCGCGCCTCTATAAAGCACCCTGCGCCCTTTTCTATGCAATCGCCGCGGCGACCGATGTCATTGCGGAGGTGTGCCGTGACAAAAGAGGTCAAACATCGGCCGGTAACTTGCAGAACGAACGCCGGAAATCGCGGCGAATCCACGTACGTGGCCCGCTGCAGCCG